TGACCGTATGGTGTAAAAAATGTTAAAAAACTTACCAATCGAAACGCGAAAAACCTTACTTTGTTTGTGCAATGCTATCTGGTTTTCTGGCACTATCCCTACCTCCTGCAAAGAGGCTATTACTATTCACATTTTGAAAGAGGGCAAGGATCCTTCTTTAGCTTCGAGTTATAGGCCTATTGCACTTACAAGCTGCCTGTGCAAAGTCTTCGAAAAAATGATAAACTGCCGACTTGTACATTTCCTTGAAATAAATAATTTGCTCGACCCATTTCAGTGCGGGTTTCGAGAGAGTAGATCCACCACAGACCACCTTGTTCGTATCGAGGCACAGATCGGAGATGCTTTCGTCCATAAACAATATTTCCTCTGTGTTCCTCGATATATTTCCTCTGTGTTCCTCGATATCGAAAAGGCTTACGTTACAACATGGCGTTTTGGAATTCTAAGAGACCTGTCCTACCTTGGCGTGCGGGGAAGAATGTTCACATATTCGAAAGTTACCTGTCAAACCGGACATTCCGTGTCCGAGTGGGCAGCGTTCTTTCCCAAACATTTGTCCAGGAAACAGGCGTGCCGCAAGGTGATGTACTTAGCTGCACACTTTTTCTCATCAAAATGAATTCCTTGCGCTTGTCCATCCCTCGCAATATGTTTTATTGTACATATGTCGATGACGTCCAGCTTGTCTTTAGATCTTACAATCTGGCAATGTGTGAGCGGCAGGTTCAGTTAGGTTTAAACAAGGTCTTCAAATGGGCAGAGGAAAACGAATTCCGACTGAACCCACAAAAAAGCACGTGTGTGTTGTTCTCCCAAAAGAGAGGCATGCACTCAGAACACGACATTGAACTGAACGGTCAACGTCTGTCTGTTAATGCGGAGCATAAATTCTTAGGCTTAATCTTGGACAACAAGTTGACCTTCGTACCGCACATCAAGTATTTAAAAACAAAATATTTAAAAGCCATGAATGTTTTAAAAGTGTTGTCACGTACCACGTGGGGTAGTGACAGGCAATGTCTCATGAATCTGTATAGAAGCCTTATTCGCACCCGCTTAGATTATGGGGCCGTTGTTTATCAGTCTGCGACTCAAAGTGCTTTGAAGATGCTGGGCCCCGTGCACCATTTGGGCATCTGCCTTTCTATGGGTGCTTATCGCACCAGCCCCATAGAAAGCCTTTATGTTGAGTCAAATGAGTGGTCGCTTCATCTGCAGAGAACTTACATGTCCTTTGTTTATTTCCTTAAGGTGAAAACAGACAAGAAGCACCCCTCATACTCTACTATTAATGATTTGTCGAGCTCCATTCTGCTTCAAAACAGGCCTTCGATGAGGCAGCCCTTCTCAGTTCGCATGAAGGGTCTAGCTGAGGAAACTGGAGTGTCACTTGAACACAGTTTAATGGCTCCTGTAGCATACCTGCCACCATGGCAGTGGCAGACTGGAGACTGTGATGTGTCTTTTCTAGAAGTTACAAAACATGCGCCTATTGCTAATATCCGAACATACTTTCTTGAACTTCAACACGAATACACAAGTCCTGTGTTCTTTACAGATGCCTCCAAGTGTAACTCCTCTGTGTCCTACGCTGCTGTCGGCCCATCCTTTTCGGATGCTGGCCCTCTGCATCCAGGCACAAGTATCTTCACAGCGGAAGCTTATGCGATACTTGTGGCGGCTAAACACATCAAACAATTACAAATACAAAGAGCAGTAATTTATACGGACTCCCTCAGTGTGGTGATGGCTCTGCAAACCCTTAAAAAACAGAAAAAAACCCTGTCCTCATCTCACTTTACTCCATTTTATACACACTCTACACACTCAAATAACATGTTGTAGTGTGCTGAGTGCCAGGGCACCGTGAGATCCAAGGCAACGTGATGGCGGATCAGCTTGCTGCATTCGTCCACAAAAGCACTGCCACTACACCCATATCAATCCCGGCCCTTATCGTAAGCCGTCTCTCAAACGAAACCTCAGGGACTACTGGCAGAGCAAGTGGGATAGACACACACAAAAGAAACTACACATTATTAAGCCACACCTTGGCCATTGGCTGCCAGTATCAAAATCGCGTCATACAGAGGTAATACTAATGAGGCTCAGGATGGATAGGACACACATACACGACACACACATATCTTTTGTCTGGTAGCGATCCACTATTGTGTGACAGATGTGGTGAAGCATTGACAGTCCTTCACATGTTAATCCAGTGCAAACACTTAGAAACTCTAAGAAAACGACATTTTCCATTACCCTACCGACAACATATACCTTTACACCCTGCAATGTTCGTCGGTAGGGAACCGCTTTTTAGTCATAAAATTATTGTTAGCGTTTTTAAAAGAAATTCATAATTTTCATATTATATACCCGGGCATTCCGTAGCACGACCTCTCTAGAGAGGTTTTTGCTGCGGAGGTTACACAAGAAAGCACTTGCCTCACGGCCCTTGGACGCAAGGGTATGAACGAGTGAGGCACTTGTGGTAATGCCATACATATCCACCATCGTCTTTATTATCACCAACTTTTGTCATCTATTCACACCACACACATCTTTCACGGCATGGTTATCATTTTATTACTTGTATGTTCTTACCCGCCTTATCGCGAGGAATTTTATGGCCCTTATACAGCCGCTTATCACAATCATTGTCCATATTTTTAGTAAGGTGAACTGGCGCTCTTTGGCCAACAAATGGCCCTTGCGCCAAAAAACACCATATATCATCATCATCATGTGCACTAGAGCTGCATTGGCTATGGTGGTTGAAGGAGGCAAGCGATTGCTGGCAGTTTCTCGCAAGCGATTGAGCTGAGGAGCCAGACCTAGCAGACGGCGACTGAAATGGTGGACTGGTGTTTGTGGGGATCTGAGACGCGCCTGCGACCATTTCGCGGGCATTCCGCCACACGGCCACACCCTTTTGCTTTTCTGCTCTGTTAACACCACGTGGCGATAGATGGCGCCACGTGCGGGCACGGCAGCGGTACGCGCGTGCCGAGGGAGCGCGGTGTTGCTTCGTGGTCGGCGCCGGGTAAGCGCCGACCACGTCCCCTTTGGGAATCGCGGACTGTAGCCTGCCCGGGGTGGCCTTGGGCACCCCGGCAGGCGTGTTTACTTGAGTGCTGGCTTCGGTAGCGTACGCTAAGCCCAGAGCGGTGCCTATTGCTTGAAGTGGTCGTACCACAACGAGCCGCACTTGCCGTAGGCCTACGCCTGCGAGGTTTGCCCTAACACTCGCGACCAGGCCCATTGGCCATCGTGAGAGTGCGCAGCCTAGCCGCGAGGGACCTTTTCCCGACCGGCGTGTCAAAGCTCGCCATTGCCAGCTGCGACGTGCTCGCGGTTTTCCCCTTATTGTGAACGTCCGCGTGCGGGTGCCTTTGCTACCCGCGTCCCGGGAGCGGACGTTGTACTGTTGTTCGGGGTGCCGCCAGAGGCAATAAAGTGTTGTGTACTTTTGCATTAGAACACTGTCTATTAACCGCGCCACGCTAAACGCCTTATTAGTTGAGCGCGCGCGGAGCGGTGCGCTACACACGAGTAAACAGAGTAGCGGCCCTATGGCTCGCTAAGCGTGAACCCGCGGTGATCGTCCGCTGCAGTTAGTAGAGGGGTCACCATATAGAGGGGTCACCATATGTTTCAACGCGTGGTAGCGGTTCCGGGCTCGAATGTCGGGTCCGCGTAGGGGTGCCAAGCATAAAGACTACCCAGCACCTCCACCAATGTGACGACGTGGAATCAACGAGCACACAAAGCACCTCGAACAAATACGCTTTATCGATCACAGGACAAAGACTGCAACGTCTTCTTCGTCTCTGCCCTCGGCCAAAGACACTCGCGCTGCTTCGTTGTCACCGCCACTGGCACATACGCGCGTCAATATGTAACAAATAATCTAAACAGGAATCCTCTACCTCGTTTTAAGATAGGCCTACACAACCTCTTTTTTAACTTAGTTTGTATCTGAGCAAAGTTATCTGACAAAAGCTGTATACCTATATACAGTATGAAATACTGTCTGTGTCTTAATGAGAACTAAGAGACAATGATGCCAAAAGAAGTATAGGGGATATTATTAGAAGTACTTGTAACGTAAATATCAAGAAAGAAAAGTGGATGAAAAGATAACTTGCTGCTGGCAGGGATCGAACCTGCGACCTTTGAATAATGCGACCAATGCTCAGTGGTGGTCGTCATCGTTCACATTACGGAGTATTATGTTCATTTATATCTGGGAGTGTTAATCAGTGCTGCTACTAGCCATGACGGCAAATGCGAGACACTCTGCCTGCTGGCGTCACGACCGTCGCTGTACCTTAGGTGGTAGAGCATCGGATGCATCATTCGAGTGTCACAGCTTCGATCCCTGCCAGCACCAGGTACACTCAAACATCATTGTAACAAAGTTGCATCTTATAGCAAAATATGTTTGTTATATCCAAAAATTCTTTATAAAGATATATTCCTAACACTATATCTACTGAAAGAAAATTTTTGAATCTATTCGCCATAACCCCTATTTCGTTACATTTGAGTTCTTTGTGCCCCGCTGCAGTGGTCTAGTGGCTAAGGTACTCGGCTGCTGACCTGCAGGTCGTGGGATCAAATCCCGGCTGTGGCGGCTGCATTTCCGGTGGAGGCGGAAATGTTGTAGGCCCGTGTGCTCAAATTTGGGTGCACGTTAAAGAACACCAGGTGGTTGAAATTTCTGGAGCCCTCCACTACGGCGTCTCTCATAACCATATGGTGGTTTTGGAATGTCAAACCCCACATATCAATAGAGTTCTTTGTATTGAGGCTTGAGTGCAATCTCTTCATCCACTTTTATTTCTTCACATTTACACTACACTTACTGCTAAAAACATCCCCTAGAAAAACTAGCCCTTAAATTTGTGCATTTTTTCTTTATTTAAGAGTATGTATTTCAGAAGCAGTACAGTTTGCTTAGTGTGAACTTTCTGTTTTCCCAAATGCAGTGGGATGATCAATGTCCACCCAAGTCTGCTACCAAGATGGCGGGGAGCCGCGCCTCTGGTTCACACGCTTCTTGCCGGCGACACCGAGTCTGGCATCTCAGTGATCACAGTAGCACCAAAGAGGTACAAAAAGTGCTTACCGTGCGTGCAGCACTTATTAATGGGAGTTTCAAAACTTTTGTGTTGCCGTTTCTAAACCTCTAACCACTGATTTTGATGTGTAAATGCCTCGCCGACACTATAGGTTTCTCTTGCTGTAGTCACTGCGAACTGACCGCGCATAGTTTGTTCACTCATAGCCTACTGCCGAGTTTGGACACTTGTGCAAACTACTAACAGGTAGTATACACGCTCCTACATTTTTTTCGACAGCCACCAAACAAGTTCCCCAATTGGCACAGTAGATCGCGGCGATCGCATTTTCCAGATATTACAGCACTGCGTAGCCCCTCCATTTCGAAAAAATAATTTCCGCGCATCTTTCCTTCTGACCAATCCCCCTCGTACACCCAGTGATGCAAACTTGCCCATGGGCAAACTGACGCATCGCTGAGCTCATGGATACGTCCTTTGCCTTGGCCTTGCGGTGATGCAGTTGTGGCCTTACAGTCTGCATTTTCACTTTCCTGTGATGCCTTCTGCCATTTCGTAGAGCCAGTGACTACCAGGAGAAGTGGTATTGCCAGAATGAAAGCCTCTGAGATAAAGAGGCGTCTCGCGACTTTACCACTTGGAGAAGGATGCTCTTCGCACCGTTCCGCTATTGCATGTGCTCATGTGGGGGAAGCTCTGCTCGGTTGTTGGCTGTGCGATGATGACGTATCGCTGATGTCACATCAAGTTGCCAAAGTAGGTGGAGAAAGGTGGTGAGGCCGCTCGAAAATTTGAAACCAGTTGAAACGAATGTTCTAACGCCTGTAACTTTCTTACTATAGTACGTATTTGCAAAATTCTTGTGGCAGCATGTTCACATAGCAAAAGTGCGCATATTTCTCTTCTTTACAATTTTTGGACCTCGAAGCTGTTTACTGTTATTGCGATAACGTTAAAGACCTTATTGAGTGAAAATTTCGGAGTCAATTGGTGTTGGCGTCATTGGCTGCAAGAGAAAAATTGAGATAGGTGCGTATGAATAAATAATAAAAATCGTCTTCAGTCCTAGCAGCATGTGAACTTGGGCGTCCTGTGTGGCAGTCAGGTTTTTTACTACAAAGCCATGCCAGTACTTCAAACTGCTTCATGAAAAAAAAATCTCCATACAGGCGTCATGTAGTGTGAGGAGTCCCATTAACGCATGTAATATTGCATGGCAGAAGCTCAGAATCTTACCAAGTGTCATACCATGTGAATTGTGCAATGAGTGGATGATTTAAAGAGGCACTCATTTCAAAGCACTCGGACAAAACATGTCATCTTCAGCAATAGCATCAACAAAGATGTGCAGCCTTACTAACACATGTTGGGTACTTTGCTGATTCGCAGTATGATGAATTAGGGTGAAATGTGCACATCACAACTTCACTTCCTATGGCCAACGTTACGAAGACAGATGTTCCTCCCCTGTGGCAAGATTGGGGTGCCCACTGAAAAGGGGGGCGTAGCGTGTAAATAAGACAACTGTGAACGGAGCCCAATCACACTGTATCATTTTACTCTTGAACGTAAAGCTCAAGCATCGTCAAATATTGTTTGAAGCGAAGCTCCTTAGGCCCACATGTCGCCATCACCGGCGAAGATCCTTGTGCCAGGCAAGTTAGCCGAGCAATACAACAGGTGCGTGCTCCCAACGAGCAGGAGTGGAGAAGCAGCAGGAGATGGCTCGTGCTGCGCCGCGCGCGCAGCACACTCGCTTACTTAGTCGTTCCCGCCACTGAGCACAGCAAATGCCCTCTCCACTTGCCGCCCACCCTACCGCCTTCATAAAAGCCAGCACCGAGATCAGGCGCCTAGTCGTTTGCGTCCCATTTCTAAGGAGCTTCGCTCATCAGTTGTATTCATACATTGAACGACTGATAGTTTTATTGTAGTTGACATTTATTTTGCTATCGTGCATTGATAAGGTAGTGGATGCTTTAATGTGCTGCAAAAAAATAGTATTTGTCACAATACAGTTTGTTATTGAATGTCTTCTTTAATAGAAGGAGTGGAACTTCTTCTTCAATCTTTTTTTTCAATGAGTATGTTAGTGTGAACTTACAAGGTTGTAAAAGAAAAAGTTTGAAAAGTATTCACAGTTTTTCAAAAAATACTTTGTGAATCGAAGGATGAATGTAGAAAAATTAATGCCATGGAACATGAGACGACGGCAAACATCAAGGGCCAGTCCATAATGATGCTAAATCGGCACTAGCCACAGTTTTAGATGGACCCGATGCTTCCAGGCTTGTTCAGTTCACTCCTCATGAGTTGACTGCGCTGTTGGTGAAAGTGGCATAACATTTTCTTCTCCTCTCGCCTGTTTCCCCTTTTAATTTCATCAAGAAAGACTGCTGTCTGTGCAAAGCTCGATCTGCACCCCACCTCCACCTCTTTCATCATTCTTTTCTCTTTCCCTTCCGAAGTAGCCACCCGTGCTTAGTCTAGTTAGCCTCGCTGCCTTTCCTCTCTCTCATGATCTTTTTCTCACTCGTTTGTTAATTAGCACCAAAGAACGTGGGTCTATTCACATCATGCTGTCCTTATTCTTAATCTTATGTGCTTGCTGAGGCTTGCACAGATGTGCCATAGTATTGGTGTCCTTTTCCTTCTTTAACCAGATTCGACACGGGCAAGATAGTGATGCAAAGGACAGTCGCTGTGCCTCAAGGAATCCACCTTGTCGAGTACACCAGCATGATGGCCAAACTTGGTGCCAACCTGGTAGGCAGTGTAGACTTGCGTGGCTTACTTAATAAGCTGAACAAGGAAAAACAATTTCTTTTGTTTCATTTCTGTCCTAGCTGTTGCAGTGCCTTCAAGACCTTCCAGTGTTACTGTCTGCAGCTCAGGATCAAGGCTCGGAGGGAGTCACCAGAGGTACTCTTTATCATTTAAAACTATATTTTTTTACATTATGATATAATAATTGAGTGAACATTAGGATATTTGCCATAAACTGCAAACACTTCCCTTGAAGCATTGTCACACTGGTGGTAGCTTGATGTATGGAATGTCACTGTAATAGGAAGGTACGTCTCTGTGCTCATGCACAAGTGAATGCTCATATAGGACTACAGTCGACCGGAAGAAGTCAGTCCTACAAAGCAGGGAGGCCTCTTAAATGAAATGGAATAAAGTGACCCTTGTGCAAAAGGAGCCCAGAACAAGTTGATGTGGTGGAGAAAAAGCACGCAGCTGTGTCATGTTGACAAGCTTCTTCAAGTTGGTGTTTCAATGAACAATTTTTTTACTCGTCTCAGAAGTTCTGCAGGGTGTCCCGGCTGACTCTAGCCAGCTTTTTAAAATATTCCAAAGCACTTCATAACGATGCGACCATATGCATGTTGCTGACTATTCTATCGAGCACGCTGTCCTATATTGCAGCAGAGCTGTTATGATCGACAAATGTCGTGTGTCATAGATAGCAAGTTCTTATCGTAACCGGCGCTTATTCTCTTTGCCCTCTTGTTCCTCATTTTCTCCCTTCTTCCTCTTTGCTTTACATCCGGAACCCGGGCACTGATTTGTATGATGAAGTGCGCAATAACTCTGATGAGCGAGAGAAGGCGTACAGAGAGAGAGAAGTAGAGAAAGGGAGAGATGGGGAAATGTAGGTATGGAGAGAAATCCTTGATGAGGTGGTACTCAAACCTGCATCCCTTCCTACAAAGGCAAGTGCCGTAACCACTGTGCGATTCAGGCGCGCCAGCGGAGCATAGCATAGCCTTGTATAGTGTAGTATAGCAAAGAGGCAGGAAAGGAAAGTGAGGGTGATGGCAAGTGTGAGGATAAAATGGAGTGAGGGGAGGACAGAAAAAGAAAAAAAGGAATAAAGAGTGAAAAATATAGGTGAGACAACAGCCATAGAGAAAGGGCAAGAAACACGTAGATACAACCTTTTCTTTTTTTTTAAAGAGAGCAAGAATAACCATGTATTATATAGTACTGCAAGGGGTGGGAAAGAGAGAGGTTAACAATTAGAAGCCTGGCCATGTCAGAGTCAGTTAGGTGCCAACCGGCTCTGCCGAGACACAAGCTCTGCGACACACAGAGTGCGAGCTGCACTTATTCTTTTTGTTTGTTCTACTTGATTGCATGGTTTGTTAAGATGTAGAATTAACTAATACAGGAACAACACAGGGCAAAAAATTCGGACAGAAAGTTGTATACTGGTTTACAAAATGTCTGATTGAACATCATCTAACTTTCTATTTATTGACTTTAGTAGTGTTTGTCCTAGAGATGCAAGAAAATTTGAGAAGTGCGTGCTTGTAAACCTTAATAGCAGTTATCTCTACATTCTGCCTGCAAGCACTAACATTTGGCAATGTGTCCTGGCACTTAAGTGTCGACAGGACAGCATGCATGCTTGATAATTTAATATACCTGGTACGCTACTTGATATATTAAAGAAAGCTTTGGGGGGGGGGGGGGGGGGGGTGACAAACCTGCTGCTAGTCGGCCGGACAAGTGATAATTAGTGTGTCTGATTTACACTGTCATCAACCATGGCAAAGGAAGCATTTTGTTTATATACACAGAATTTTCGGGAGCACTACAACGTGGGGCACGAGCGGGCATGTCATGTGGTATTTGTATTTTGAAGGCATGTGACCTAGATCGGAAAACATAAATACTTAATTGATACAATGTTACACGCTCTTGGATCTTGTATTTTGCTAACCTATTTACAACTTTTTAGCACGAATATCTCTGCCCAGTTTTATTGATTTAGAAGTGTAGTACTCAAAGCTGCCTAATTAGGCAATGAAGCAGAACAAAAAGTATAGTGTCTTACCCCTTGCAATAGCAAGCAACATGTATTTGATGGCCTCGTCATAAAGTGCATCAACGCATTTTGAAACTCTGGCCAGGTTGTTTGTACACCCTGTATAATGGTACTCATTGTGAGTGCTGTGCTTCAGCATTGCAGATAGCCGAGAAAGTTGCCGTGAATGTCAAAATCTTGCCCTGGTTTGCACCCAAATGACTATCCTTTGCATCTCCATATTTTGACATCATAAAGAAAGAACTTCAATGGTATTTGGAAAATCTGCTACATATTGCCTTACTTGAGGCTTTCTGAGGCTTGCTAGTATGTTTTTCTTAATGTTCAGAAGGTCCCGAATCTTCACTTAACACAAGAAACAGAAGAGAGAGAGAGAGAAATTAATGTTTATTTCGTAAGAGTATTCTGTGCGATGCCCTGTATCACCCTATAGCGGGAGGATGATACCGAACAGAAGAAGTTGAAAATATAACATCACTTGTATTTCATGCTTTTGAGATCTCATGCATTCTAGGAATCGATTTCATGTGAAACACTCAATGAGTAGCTAGCTGCTTGTGGCACATTTTTTTCGCTGAGCCTAAGGAAGATGAAAATGGATTTCGCTTTCATGTTGTCTTTCGCAAATACATAAAACAGTGTGATCTTAGTGTGGCTTCCAAGACCTGTAGTAGTCCTAGCAAAGGAACCTTTTCTGCATTTTCAAGCGCTCTTTCCACCCCAACTGGAAGCACATACAGCATAGGTTCTAGTGCTTTTTGTCATGGCACACTTGTTTGTTCCAGCCTCCAAGATTTCACCATCAATGGGTGCTGTGCGCTGGGCTCAGGCACACAGCAGAGTACGTCGACAGATTGTACAGGGCTGTTGGAAACTTTGTAAGTGTATGTGTTGCTATCTTCTTGCATTGTTATAAAGTTGTGCAGGGCTCACAGATTGAAATGTCAGTCAATTAGTTCACATTCTTTCATATTAACTGTCTTCTTTTTGTCTTCTATTAGCACAATAACTCGCACACTTCCAGCATCATGTGCATTATGTGTAGTAGCCAGATTCACTAGTGACACGACGGCAGTCATCTCAAGCAAGTGTGCAAACATGTTGTTAGAATCTTGATGTGTTTAAATCACTCAGTAATGTACATATCTTCTGGGATGGCAACACGTAATTTTTTGTATTAAAGACATACCTGTATATCAAGGTGGTAATTGGGGCACATTGGTGGTCCATTTTTATGAGTGGTAAAAGCACACTGGAGACTGAAAGTAGCGCTGTATGCATGCATCTATGTTCTTTCGTTGTGTGATCGTCTTCAGTGCACCTTTGCCTTGAATAAAAAAAGCTAGGGGTGTGCAAATAGTCTAAATTTGAATATTTATAAATAGTGTTTGCGTCCGATTCGATTCGCGCTGGAATTTAACTCTGTGAGCTTGCCAAAGTCAAATACAGTCAATGTCTAATTAGAAGTGGCTCCTTCAAATTTTTAATATGCTTCACCTTCAACCATTGTATGGTTGCATTGCGGCAAAGTTGCAGTTTAGTCTTCGATACGGTCGAAAATTATTGACTCAAAATAATGCAGATTCCAACATGGAGATGATAGATGTGGCATAGGAAGGGGCTGAGTTAGCTGTTTTGGACCTGAAATTCAGGCAGGAAGTCCTGAAAAAGTGGACGCCAAAAATTTTTAGCATCCAGTATTACAGATGCTCATTTTATTGAGGTCTACGAGGCAGATTTGAAACTCCAGACTTGAAGGAAGCACACCCTTGTCTGCCCCATCAGTTGGGCTTCCACAGAAGTTGAAAGAGGCGGAAAGGCTGAAGAAATAGCATTTTCGCCTTTCACGTGTGAAGTGTTGTCATCAACACTCACTTTGGTTGCACTGAATCTTTTGCATAAATTTGATTCAGCATTTGCATCGCCTGATTCTGGATGAGACAACTATAAAACACCACCCCGCTAGCGCTTCATCAACGTTGCGAAGAAAAACACTTCACATTGCCATCTCATAAGAATATGCTTAGGAATACTCTTCAACTTTTTTTCTGTGATTTAGATTCGAACTACAATAAAACCTCGTTAATTCGAAGTCACTGGGGCCGCGAGAATGCTTCCAATTAAGCAGGTTTTCAAATTAACAGAACATGTAGGAAGCGGGATGCAAGGAACGTAGAACTATTCAAAGTAATCAGTGCTCGTCATTTGCTGTGCCGCCTAGCTAGTGGCTCCAAAGGTCATGTTTTCCAGCAATACCTGGTCTCTATTGTGCCGCGAACATGGAGAGACGATGGGCCTCGCAGCTGTCACCGACAAAAAAAAAAAAAACATGGTCGTGATCGACTAAAATGCGGGCTTCCAGAAAACAAGACATCTTCACTGCAACACAGTAATGACATGCGGGCAACATGTTGCTTGCTTCTCGCTTCGTCAGCATGTCATGGTGCGACCATTTGCATATTATTTCTATTATAATTAAGAATTTAATAATGGCCAGTATGACGAAGCTCACGATGTGTTTTAGCTGGAAAAAATGATCCTTGAAACTTTCGAACTTACTTTTCGAAGTAGGTGTTGCTGGCAAGAACTCCGCCAGCAGTGCAAAGACGAGAATTGCTGAAGCAACCGGAAATCGGAGGTTTGCATACATTGCGATTTCCGCTAAACTGTTTCTTTTATAATTTCTTTACAATCCCAGAATGAATGGGCAAACCATGACCCGCTGACGTTGCGAGAAACACGATAAGCTGCCCGCGTGTCACCGCTGTGCTGCAGTGAAGCACAGCTCGTTTTCCGCAGGTGCACATTTTGGTTGACCATGAGACCGTTTTCCTTTCTTTCTTATTATTTTTTTGGGGCTTGAGGTAGCGAGGCTTGGGTGCTTCAGCTGCCACTCGTTAGTATCGATACGTTGCATTCCCTTGTGACTATGAATAGCCGTCGTTTCGCGGATTTGTGGCGAAGTCAGGATCTGAAACTGGCACATGGCACCCAAAGTTTTCCACTTAACCGGACTGGTGCCAGCCGCCCCTTCAAGTTATCCACTCAATCTTACATCACAAAATACGGGACTGCAGAAATCCTTCAAATTAAGTGGGATTTCGAAATAATTGAGTTCAAATTAACGAGGTTTTACTGTATTCAAAAATATTGCTACGTAGCTGACGTATCAGCGGTGAAAAGACGACAACGAGGAAGTGGTCTGTCGGTTGCGCGTGCTGCTTCCATCTTAGTCGACGCCATACGCATCATTTTGAATATAGATTTTAAATAGACACACCTCGTGTCATTTTTACGTAACATCTTTGTGGTGGACGTGCTGGGTACTTCCCCGTCTTCATCACGAAGCTCCGCAACGGCCGCATCATCATAGGTCCAACCATGTCACAGGTTGAACAACCATCGTCTTCGCCACCTGCCCCTTCCGTGACTTCTACATACGTCGTTCTACCTCCTGCTCGTGATCCCGGTGTATTTTCCGGTCAGGATGGCGTTGACGTCAACAAATGGATAAACCGGTACGAACGGGTCAGCGCAAGCTATAGGTGGGACCCGACTCTTATGCTTGCCAATGTGCTTTTTTACCTCGATGGCCCACCGCGCGTGTGGTTCGAGACGCACGAAGCGGAGATTACGAGCTGGGACTCCTTTAAAGAAAAGATCCGCGACCTTTTTGGCGACACCATTGGGCGGCAGATCGCAGCGCGGAATCAACTGGCGGCCCATGCACAGACGTCGACGGAGTCGTACGTCGCGTACATTCACGACGTCATCGCCCTATGCCGCCAGATTGACGAGCACATGAGTGAGTCGGAGAAAGTGGCCCATGTGCTGAAAGGCATAGCAGGCGACGCATTTAATCTACTAGTTTACAACAACGTTGCCACCGTCGACGCCATCATTAAAGAGTGCCGGCGGTTCGAAGAAGCCAAGAGCCGCCGTATTACTCAGCGATTTACCCGGCTGCCCAACACGGCGGCGACCTCATCGTGTGAAACCGCCCGCCAGTCCCCCACGTACGACAACGTCACACGTATTGTTCGTCGGGAAATCGAAGCCGCCTGTCCGGCTCCTCTTCAGCCACCCGTTTTCGCAACACTCGCCTCTGACCAACAACAGCCGTCAGTGGCGTTAATACAAGCTGTGGTGAGGCAGGAGTTTGCGAACCTCGGACTTCTCTCAGCATGTCCCCTGACTCGCCCTAAAGTTCCGTCCTACTCCCGAGGACACGCTCGCCGTTCACCTCCAACAATGCCCTTCCGTAACCCTTCGGAATCGCGAACACCCGACGACCGACCTATTTGTTTTTCCTGCCACCAGCCTGGGCACGTTTCTCGCTATTGCCGCCGCCGTTGGTCAAACCAACCACGTCAGACTTTCTCTACCTCGGCGCTCATGCATCCGACGAGCCCTCGACGTTCAGACGCCACACCCTTCAATTTCTATTCGTCGTCATCTTACGAGCCTTCCACTGACGCCCCTTTGCCCGGTCGCCGCTACCCTGACGCCCCTTCGTCCGGTCGCCGCTACGTCGCCAATCCCGCTCTCCGCCACCTCGGCGCTTTTCCTCGCCGAGCTTCTCTGGACGACCGCAGCAGGAAAACTAGATATTGCAGCTTATAGAGGTGAAGCTGCAATACCAATGACGACCGAAAATTCTCTACTGACGCTTCCCACGCACCATAGCCTGCTTGAAGTACAAGTCGACCATGTTTCTGTGACCGCCCTCATTGACACAGGTGCGCACCTGTCTATTATGAGCGCTTCTCTACGCTGCCGCTTACAAAAGACTATGACGCCATCTACGACGCAGGCAATACGCGTTGCCGATGGCGGTACTGTACCAGTAATCGGAATGTGCACTGCTCGTGTCAGCATTGCCGGTCGTCACGCCGTGGTCCTTTTTGTCGTGCTAGCCTGCTGCCCTCATGACCTCATACTTGGCCTTGATTTCCTTTCGGCACACCCGGCCTTGATTGATTGTTTGTCTGGTACCCTCAGCCTTGATCTACCAATCTTTGCCGACTACTCTGCAAAGCCCACCAGCCGCTTGAGCCCAACCACTTTCGTTCGCCTGCCACCTCAAGCCATCACGTACGTGTCTTTGTCATCGACCCCTCCCGTTCCTGACGGTGATTATATTGTTACGCCAATTACTGACGTTCGGCTGACGCGCAGTGTTACTGTGCCCTATACCATCGCGACCATAGCGGATAACTGTGTGTTACTTCCGCTCCTTAACTTTGGTTTCACCCCTCAAGTGTTGCCCTGCCAGATGTCTCTAGCCCAGCTAACTGCCATAACAGAGGACGATGTCAGTGTTGTCGCTGTATCTGCTCTTGATCGAAGCGCAGTCTCACGGTCACCCAGCTCAGACGATGGTATGTTTCGAAACATGATTGGATCGGAGCTGTCGCCTCACCAGGCCGACGCTCTCTGCCAAGTTTTGGCCTCATACAGTGACATTTTTGACACCGACGATCGTCCCTTGGGCCAGACTAAAATTGTCACTCACCGAATCAATACTGGTGACTCTGCGCCCATTCACCTTCGCCCATTCACCGTCGGCGTGTCAGCATCTGAGCGAGAAGTGATTCAGAAAGAAGTGGCCAAAATGCTTACGAAAACGTAATCGAACCATAACGAGCCCTTGGGCATCTCCCGTGGTATTAGTAAAAAAGAAAGACGGCTCATGGCGTTTCTGCGTTGATTATCGCCACCTCACAAAATTACCAAAAAGACGTGTACCCTCTACCACGCATTGACGATGCCCTGGATTGCTCCATGGCGCCACCTTCTTTTCATCTCTCGACCTCCGATCTGGCTTCTGGCAAAATTGTTGTAGATGACATGGACCGAGAAAAAGACCGCCTCGTTGCCCCTGACGGCCTTCACCAATTCAAGGTCATGCCATTCGGGCTTCTGCAACGCTCCAGCGACCTTCGAGAGAATGATGGACACGCTCCTACAAGGATTTAAATGGTCGACATGTTTGTGTTACCTGGACGACGTGATCATTTTCTCACCTACCTTTGCAACCCACCTTGAACGCCTTTCGAACCATTCTATCCATATCTCGACGGGCCGGCCTGCAGCTCAATTCCTCCAAGTGCCACTTCGGTCTTCGTCAGATTACCGTATTGGGTCACCTTGTTGACGCTGCGGCGTACGGCCAGACCCGGCGAAAGTACGCGCTGTAACAAACTTCCCAGTCCCACGCTCTGTCCATGATGTTCGCAGTTTTGTGGGCCTCTGCTCCTACTTTCGCCGGTTCGTGAAAAACTTTGCGGCACTCGCACGGCCACTGACCGACCTTCTCAAACAAGACGTCCCATTTTCTTGGGGCCCTCCTCAAGCTGACGCCTTTTCTCAGCTAATCACCGCTCTAACGACACCTCCTATTCTTGCACATTTCGACCCCGATGCTCCCACAGAAGTGCGAACAGACGCGAGTGGTCACGGAATTGGTGCAGTTTTGGCGCAAATTCAGCGGGGCAACGTTTTTTTTGTATTAAAAACATACCTGCATACATTGGTGGTCCATTTTTATAAGTGGTAAAAGCACACTGTACACTGGAAGTAGCGCTGTATGTATGCATCTGTGTTCTTCATTGTGTGATTGTCTTCAGTGCATTTTTGCCTTGAATAAAAAAAGCTAGGGGTGTGCAAATATTTGAAATTTTGAATATTTATAAATAGTGTTTGCATCCGATTCAATTCGGGCTAGGATTTAACTCTGTGAACTCGCCAAAGTCAAATACAGTCAATGCCGGATTAGAAGTGGCTCCTTCAAGTTTTTAATATGCTTCACCTTATTATATGCTTGCATTGCGGCAAAGTTGCCTTTTAGGCTTTGATACGGTCGAAAATTATTGTCTTGAAAAAATGCAGGTTCCAACATGGAGATGATAAATGTGGCGGAGGAAGGGGCTGAGTTAGCTGTTTGGACCTGGAATTCAGGCAGGAAGTCTAGAAAATTGGACGCCAAACATTTATAGCATCCAATATTACAGTTGTTCTTTTTATTGAGGTCTACGAGGCAGATTTGAAACTCCAGACTTGAAGGAAGCACACCCTTGTCTGTCCCATCAGTTGGGCTTCCGCAGAAGTTGAAAGAGGTGGAGAGGCTGAAGAAATAGCATTTTCGCCTTTCACGTGTAAAGTGTTGTCACCAACACTCACTTTGGTTGCACTGAATCTTCTGCATAAATTTGATTCAGCATTAGCATTGCCTGATTCTGGATGAGACAATTATAAAACACCACCCTGCTAGCGCTTCATCATGTTGCGAAGAGAAACACTTCACATTGCCATCTCATAAGAATATGCTTAGGAATACTCCTCAACTTTTTTCTGTGATTTAGATTCATACTAATATAAAACCTTGTTAATTCAAAGTCACTGGGGCCTCAAGAATGCTTCAAATTAAGCAGGTTTTCGAATTAACAGAACATATAGGAAGCGGGATGCAAGGAATGTAGAACTATTCACGGCTAGCTAGTGGCTCCAAAGGTCATGTTTTTCAGAAATACCTGGTCTTTATTTTGCCGCGAACATGGAGGAACGATGGGCCTCGCAGTTGTCACAAAAAAACGTGGTCGTGATCGACTAAAATGTGCGCCTGCAGAAAACAAGACATCTTCACTGCAATACAGTAATGACATGCGGGCAGCATGTTGCTTGCTCCTCGCTTTGTCAGCATGTCATGGTGCGACCATTCGCATATTCTTTCTATTATAATTAAGAATTTAATAATGGCCAGTATGACAAAGCTCACGATGTGTTTTGGCTGGAAAAGATGGTCTTTGAAACTTTCGAACTTACTTTTTGAAGTAGGTGTTGCTGGCGAGAACTCTGCCAGCAGTGCAAAGAGGCGAATTGCTGGAGCAACCGGCAATCGGAGGTTCGCATACATTGCGATTTCTGCTAAACTGTCTTTTTTTATATAATTTCTTTACAATCCCAGAAAGAATGGGCAAACCATGAACCGCTGACGTTGCGAGAAACACGATAAGCTGCCCTCGTGTCACCTCTGTGTTGCAGTCAAGCACAACTTGTTTTCTACAGGTGCACGTTTTGGTTGACCGTGAGACCGTTTTTCCTTTCTTTTTTATTATGTTTTTTGCGCTGGAGGTAGCGAGGCTTGGGTGCTTCAGCTGCCACTCGTTAGTGTCGATACGTTGCATTCCCTTGTGACTATGAATAGCCGTCGTCTCATGGATTCGTGGTGAAGTCGGGATCTGAAACTGGCACATGGCACCCAAAGTTTTCCAATTAACCGGACTGCTGCCAGCCGCCCCTTCAAGTTATCCACTCACTCTTACATCGCATAATACAGGACCGCAGAAATCCTTCAAATTAAGCGGGATTTTGAAATAACCGAGTTTGAATTAACAAGGTTTTACTGTATTCAAAAATATTATAGAAATATGTGAGAAATATTCAAAAATTATTCGATTTGCACTCGCACTTCGCTACTCGAGTTCACCTCACGCTGATAATTTTGCTATTTACAGAGCTATAAGAAAGGCATATCTGTGCTTGAAAGTCAGGCGATGCACTAACATCATGGCCCCTGTACGGAATTTCTTAAGCAGAAATGCATATCATTTCAAAGAATAGCAGACTTCTGCTTGAAACTTAGCTGTCCTCTTTTGACAACGGTTCGTCATTGTTTTTCAGATGCAGGATTTAAAGATGGGCAGCACATGTTTTTATCTTTGTGATGAGCATTAGCACTAGTTTCTGCGTTAATGTATTACAACCGCAGCAGTTTTGCTAGCACTGTTCGAATCTTCCTTCCTCATTTACACTGGCAGACGACACTGACCACCTCTTGGCACGGCTGCCGAGTTAAACTGTTTGACATGGTGCCTCCAGAACAGCTTGCCACTGCCAAACTAGAACAGCTTGTGAAAACCGAAAATGTGAAGCCTGGTCACTGCTACTATCATGCCAAGCGCAAGATACTGTGCATCAAGTGCAAGGTAAGAAATTCAGGGGACACCGATTCTCTTTCGAAGTGAAAGCTTGCTTTGGTGTAGCAAGATATTCAGTTTGCAGTGTAATAATCATTCTTTTGCATCCCAATATTCTTCCCAACATATTTTACAGGTGTGGAGAAGCAGCTAGGTCATAAAAAAATGCTGTGGCTAATTTTTATTTCTCGCCTTTCCAGGAAGGATGGGTAGCGTTCTCAGCCATCACTGTAAAAGGACACAAGAGAATGACAGCTACGGATTTCAGCTGTGGTTTCCTTGGTAAAGTGCCTGAACATGAACGGTACTTCTCGGATGAGAACAAAGTGTGGGAGGCAGCAGTGAACACGTGACCAGTTGTTGCAAGTTCAGCCTATAATAATTTAGCGATGTTAAAACTAGTACTTTGTGTGCCTTGTGACTACATTGGGCATTATGGGCATCAGTAAAGTCTATGAATTTTTACGTGTTGGTTACCTTGCAATTCCTTTCTATGTGAACAGCACGTACTTGTCAGAAAAGGGCCATGCGGCGTTGAACTACTCATAGCACGTCATATCCGTTTCCTCACTCATGAAAGCCAAAGCCCACTACAGTGAAATTTATTTTGTTCGTTATGCAATGTACTACTTTCACAACCTCGTGGGATGTTGCGACATCACTATGTTGTTGACTCCCCACATTGCTGTATAGTATTTGCTTTTACCTATCAGTTTCTCTACCAGAATCTGGAAGTGTTATCATTTCAGGAGAAATTTTTTCAGTCCATTTCTGTGATCCCTGCAGCTACTGCATGTAAGTGTGCCCAGAATGAATGCCAAAGTTATCTCTTCTTTATGAGCAACTTCACCACAAATAGCTTCAATGCTAAACAAAACTGGCAAGGCTAGCTTACTATCTATGATGATGTCAGCCTTCGTATGTATGTTTGCTAAGCTCACTGGATCCTTTTATGTGCAAGAATCATTTACCTAGTTGAGGTTTAATTACAAGCTAATGATAAATATTGTGGCACTGCAGTGTTTGCTTTATTTAACTCCTCTTAAATACTGTTTGGTGTCATTTTATATGAACAACCCAAAAGACAAAGGTAAAATGTGCCCATGAAACATTAGGGAACGAGCATGTGATGCCATTCGCTTTGCTCATTCTTATATAGTAGCATGGGCCTGACACGTAGAGAATACTCAATGATGCCAAATCTGCATTGCAAGCACTTGGTTCTTTTTGAAGAAGAAAAAGGGACTCTGATGCATTGGCTTCCAAAATCATACTGGCATACGATCTCATGCAATTGAATGGTCACTCGATTATCGTTCAATGGATACCTGGACTGTGTGGCTTGGCAGGCAACAATCTAGCTGATGCTGCAGCAAAAACCAATGTGGATAATGGCGCCATTCACGTAAAAATTTCATACTTATCAAGCGGCGGGAACTGTGTTAAAAGGCCAGTAAACAACCCCAAGGTACGAAAATTGTTGTAAAAAAAAATATGTGCACTTTTACTTCGTGAACATGCTGCCGCAAGAATTTTGCAGATACATGCTATATTAAGGAAGTCACAGGGGCTAGAACATCGCTTTCAGATGGTTTCAAATTTTCGCGCGGTCTTGCCACCCTTTTCCTTCAGAAGAAGGGGAAGGCGTGGCCCGTCGTCGTGACTCCGCCCACTTCTGCAATGTGAAAAGACGTCAGCGATTGACGTCATCGGCGAACTCGATCAGTCGCAACGCACTTCTTTTTTTTTATTTATTTATTTATTTATTTATTTATTTATTTATTTATTTATTTATTTATTTATTTATGATACCTCAAAGGCCCCTAAAGGAAGGGGTTTCACATGAGGGGTGGGCATATCTACAAAACAGCTCTTCGATGATGCGTTTGAAGATGGCTTGGTCGGAATGAAGCACTGCTATGGTGGGAAGGTCATTCCAGTCCCTTGATGTCAGGTTGAAGAAAGAGGAGGCATGGGAGACAGTGTGGGCTTCAGGGGGGTATATGGTCTTTTCGTGGTTGGTCCGGCTTGAGTGGCGGTGTGCGGGAGCAACGAGATCGGCTTGGGGTGACTTGTGAAAGAATTTATGAAAGAGAGAAAGGCGGGCGACTCAACGGCGTGATACAAGGCTGGGAAGGTTGGCTTGGGATATGAGTTTCGATGAGCTATAGTTGTAGGAATAGTCAGAAAAAAATGAAATGTACGGCACAATTCTGTACTGATTCAAGCATGGTAATATGATTATGTTGGTATGGGTCCCACAAGGCGCATGCATATTCGAGCTTCGGTCTTACTAAGCAGCAGTACGTTAGAAGTTTGACTGAGGGGGGTGCTAATCGGATATTACGCCGCAGGAAACCAAGAAAGCGATTAGCAGAATTCGTTATGCTGGTTATGTGGGTGTGCCATGATAGGTGAGAAGTGAAGTTATTTCCTAAGTACTTGTAGGTGTTAACAGGGGATATTAAAGAGCCACTTATTATATAATCACGAGCCGGGTATGACTTCTTTCGATGAAAAGTGAGAAGGGAGATTTTTGATGCATTTAATGACATAAGCCACTTGCTGCACCATTCTTCAATTTGACTGAGGTCAGATTGTAGGGATAAAACATCGTTATTATTGTTAATAGGGCGGTATAGCACGCAGTCGTCTGCAAACAATCGTATCCCTGAAGAAATGTTAGTTGGAAGATCGTTAATGTATATGAGAAAAAGCAGGGGTCCGAGGACCGTTCCCTGAGGAACCCCGGATGTAACAGGTGTGAGAGAAGAGGAGCGTTCGTTAACGTATACAAATTGCTGACGGTTACACAGAAAATCACGTATCCAGTGAAAAACAAGATGATGAAGGTTTAGGCGAGACAGCTTTAGGAATAGGCGGTTATGGGGTGCTTTATCAAAAGCTTTTTCAAAGTCCAAAAATTGCGCGTCAACGGGAGTGTTAGTATCAAGGCTAGAACTGATGTTATTAATGAAGAGAGCCAGTTGAGTGTCGCAAGAAAGGCTCTTCTGGAAGCCATGTTGACTGGGATAAAGAAATTAACCGAGCTAAGAAACTTCGCAATATGTGCATAAAGAATGTGCTCCATTAATTTGGAGCATACACTCGTTAGTGAGATGGGACGATAGTTTCTCCGTGACGCTGGGTTACCTTTTTTTGGGCACTGGGATGACCTTTCCCACCTTCCAGTCATGTGGTAGGGTACTAGTGGAAAGCGATTGCTGAAATATGCAAGAGAGAATGACACTGGTGATTTGCTTTGTACTTTTTAGTATTTTGGTGTTGATGCTGTTTATGCCAGCTGATGATGTCATCTTTAGGCTGTCGATTAAAGCAGCGATACCAGCAGCCTCAAAGGTGATTTCCTGCATTACCGGATACTCAATCGGGGACAAGTAGGGCAATTCGCTATCAGGCTCTTCGGTGAATACCGAGCAGAAAACGTTGTTCAACACGCGTGCGGTATCATGTAGTGGAATGGGTTTATCATTTTCGTCACAGAGTGATAACATTTTAGATACGCTTGAGTTGATGAATTTCCAGAACTGCTTGGGGTTAGTGTTTAGCATGTTCGGCAACGTTGAAGCAAAGAAGTTGCGTTTGGATTTCGTGGCAAGTGAATCGAACAGTTTTTCAGTGGCGCGGTACTTTTCCCACGCTTGCACTGTGTTTTATAACTTAGCAGACCGCTAATGTCGCTTCTTTTCGTTTTTTAGGCGCTTTAGTGCCACACTAAACCATGGTGTCTGTGGTCCCTCTGTTACCATTACGGTGGGGATGTAAGAACGAATGAGATCGTGCAATTTGTTTTTGAAAAGACACCAGTTTGTTTCAACTGGGCGTTGTGAAAAGTCTTCACAAAACCAGCTGTAGAATGCTGTGAGTTCCTCGTTAATGGCCACGTAGTTGCTTTTATCGTAAAGTGTTAGTTTTTTCTTCACGCTTTTCGATCTTGGGGAGTGAAACTGTAGTGTAGCATTTATTATAGCGTGGTCACTTAGCCCAGCCAGGTACGAGACGGATAAAACAGTTTCTGCATGCAATGTTAGCAAAAGGTCAAGGATACTTGATGACTGAGCAAGCAAAAGGTCAAGGATACTTGATGACTGAGCAGTTTCTTTCGTAGGGGTGTAAATGAGTTGTGAAAGTCCGAATGTTAGGCAGGAATTAACGAAACTTTCTGCGCTACATTGGGACAAAGTTAACGACAAATCAGACCAGGTTGTTCCGGGAAAGTTGAAGTCTCCAAATAGTATAATTGGGACATTGGGATAAGAGCCACAAAGTGAATTCAAAACATCATGATATTCAGCAACAAACGACCGGTCTGCGTCAGGTGGGCGGTAGCACACACCGATAATGGCGGGGGGATATTGTGCTTTGCAGGATACAAACAGTACTTTTAAGTTACTGGAAATTTCTATAACATTGCACAACAACCTGCTGTGAGCCGCTATGAGCACACCACCTCCCCGCCTACCGATGCAGTCGCAACGAAAGACATCAAAACTAGGGAAATGGAGTGCCAACTCAGCATCAGAAATTGACTCATTCAACCAAGTTTTGGTTAGTACGACGAAATCACATTCTGCAGTTTCTATTATGTGTAGTAGTTGGGCTCGTTTAGGTATAAGACTTCTTACATTGGTGTAAATTAGTTGAACGGGAAAAGTGTTAGCAGCAGAATGTAAGGGAGTGCTAGGCCCCCGTAATTCTGAAACGTGCTCAGAACACTGCAGATTGCGACGTGAACTTGGTGTTAGCTACGATGGTCGCGGGATGACGCTTTCCGAGATTTCGTCGTACACGTGCGTGACGCCATCGATGACTAGCTTGTTGTAACGAAGTTTTATCGGTTTATTTTTTTATTTTTTGCTTTGGCAAACTCAGCCAATTTTTTTTCGTGCGAGGCGTGTGCCCGGTGAAAAATCTTCGCTGATGCTGTATGGACACCCTCGGAGGATTTTGGAGCATGATAGTACACGATCCTTGTCTTTCCAATTTGCAAAGTGTACGATTATGGGTCTGGTCTTGGCAGGGTTGAAACGGCCTATTCTGTGAGCCCTTTCAATGTCTTTTGGTGCTACGGAACGTCAAGGTTTTCACAGCATGCGTCAATTGCTTTTTGTTTTGACTGAGCCCATGTTTCATTAGCGCTGTCCTTCAGACCAAAGAATACAAGATTGGATCTGCGGGCGCGATCCTCAGAATCATCTACTCTAGCTGTAAGACTAGCAATTTCACGCAAGTTCTGCGTCGCGATTGCCTGTACTTCCTTGATGTCATTCTTAAGGGAAAGGAGGGATGCGCAGTTTATTTCAATTTTTCCAAGTCTTTCAGTGATAGTACTGAGCGTTTCGTCATTTTGTGCCAGTTTGGTTTGGAGAGACTTCATCTCGGTTAAAAACGCAGCTTGACCTGTTTGGAGATCTCGCAAGGCTTGTAAAATATTGGAGGTTGCT